GTTTGGCTTAATCAGCATCTTCATTATTTTCCAATAAGTCTTAGAATCGGAAGCGTTATCTATCTTATAATATTTTCTAAGTTTTTCTCAAAATTTTCTTTCGCTTCTTTCTTCATATTATTCACTTTATTCCTTTGTTTCTTATATTTATTAATATCCGTTTCTTTTTTAGATTAAATTGATTTTTTTCGTAATTTATCCCTTATTCGAATTGCTTTTCTGATATTACTGTTAAACCAGTGTTTGTCATTGCCACGTATAATTACTGTTTTGGTTGGAATGCTCTCTCTTGGAATGTAGAGGATTTTTTTAGTGAATATAGTGACCATTTCGTCTACTTCCTCAACATTGGAAAAGAGCTCATTCCATTCAACTGCATTCAACATATTTGAAAACTTATCAACATCTGTTTTTTCATACAACCATATTTCCTGTTTAAACGACTTTGTTACGGACTTTGGACATTGTAAAAAAATAACAGAGGCATCGTGATCACTGATATCAGCAGGTACATTTAGTACATCAGAAAAAGAAAATTGTATAGCATCACTTAATATGAGAGTGGAACATACTTTTTATATTATTCATTTCCCTTTTAGCTCACCTCGCATCAAAAGCCATTAAAGCGGTTGCCACCAGTTGGCGTCCGTTGTCGTCCGTCGTATTTTTTTTTCTCTTTTACTGTTTTACTGTAAATTACAATGAAGCTGTTTTACTGTAAATTACAAAGAAGCTGTAACTATGTGAATTACAATGAAGCTATATACAACAAATTACAATGAAGATGTATTAGCTGTATTACTGTTAATTACAATAAATCTGTATTACTACGAATTACAATGAAGCTGTATTACTGTGATTACAATGACGCTGTATCACTGCGAATTACAATGAAGCTGTATTACTTCGAATTACAACGAAGCTGTATTACAGTGAATTACAATGAAGCTGTATTACAGTGAATTACAATGAAGCTGTATTACTACGAATTACAATGAAGCCGTATTACTACGAATTACAATGAAGTTATATCACTGCGAATTACAATGAAACTGTATTACTGTGAGTCCACAATGAAGCTGTATTACTACGAACTACAATGAAGCTGTATTACTGTGGTTACAATGAAGCTGTATTACAGTGAATTAAAATGAAGCTGTATTACTACGAATTACAATGAAGCCGTATTACTACGAATAACAATGAAGTTATATCACTGCGAATTACAAAGAAGCTATATTACTACGAATTACAATGAAGCTGTATTACTGTGATTACAATGAAGCTGTATTACTACGAATTACAATGAAGCTGTATTGCTGTGATTACAATAAAGCTGTATTACTACGAATTACAATGAAGCTGTATTACTGTGATTACAATAAAGCTGTATTACTACGAATTACAATGAAGCTGTATTACTGTGATTACAATAAAGCTGTATTACTACGAATTACAAAGAAGCTGTATTACTGTGATTACAATGAAGTTGTATAGTAACTGCGAATTACAATGAAGTTGTATAGTAACTGCGAATTACAATGAAGTTGTATAGTTACTGCGAATTACAATGAAGTTGTATAATTACTGCGAATTACAATGAAGTTGTATAGTTACTGCGAATTACAATGAAGTTGTATAATTACTGCGAATTACAATGAAGTTGTATAGTTACATCATTTGTAATTCGCAGTAACTTACGTAACGTATTGTTATGCGTTTACTTTTCTACATTGGCTAGAGGTATAGGGGGAGGGTTGAGATCTCATAAACATGTTTAACCCCGCCGCATTTTTGCGCCTGTCCCAAGTCAGGAGCCTCTAGCCTTTGTTAGTCTTGTATTATTTTTAATTTTAGTTTCTTGTGTACAATTTGGAGTTTAGTATGGCGTTCATTATCACTGAACTAGTATATATATTTGTTTAGGGGCCAGCTGAAGGACGCCTCCGGGTGCGGGAATTTCTCGCTGCATTGAAGACCTGTTGGTGACCTTCTGCTGTTGTCTGTTCTATGGTCGGGTTGTTGTCTCTTTGACACATTCCCCATTTCCATTCTCAATTTTAGTTGTTTTCCATTCGTTCCGCTGTTTGATTTATATGGACTTCCCCCTTTTTGAATTAACCTTGGAGTTCGGTATTTTGTTAATAATTTGTTTCCCAAACAAATGTCCTATTTCAAATACTATTAAAAATGATTATTAAAATACTGTCCCAAGTGGGGAGCCTGTTATTCAGTGACCTTTAGTTTTCTGATTTTTTTGTTGCTTACATCCACGCCACTTTGACTCTAGTGGGTAGTTGCCTCATTGGCAGTTATACCACATCTCCTTATTTTTATAAAGTTACTATTAGAAATACCACGAATGGCTCCTGGCTTGGGACAGGCACTTCTTTCTTATGTTATATACAGAAGTAGTCGAGTACATTAAGGTTCACTAATTTTCTGTTCGAAAAAAGTTTCCGATTAAAAACACTAGACAAAACAAAACAAACAATGCATTTTCTATACAAAATGAAATGCTATACACGGTACCAAGCTAAAATCAAAATACTGACGTACTGTTTACTCGTATAAATCCAAGCCGATATGATGGCTAGCGAATAAATCATACAGATTTCCATCTTCATGTAGACTACTAAATGAATCTTGCAATTGCTTTCTAAACTCGAGTGACAACATTTCAGCTCATTTAAGACAATCAAAATAATAGTTTTTTTTACATTTAATCAATTGGATAGGTTTTTTGGGCAAAGAGGGTCGAAAGGGAAAACTGAAAAACAGTTAAATGTGTTTTGCACTGTCAAAAGACTGGATTATTATTCAGTGAATGATCGTATTTCAATCAGCCGTGATTGTTAATAAAACAGAAACTCTTCTTCAATACGAAACTTCGCCGCGATATAGCCTTGTTGTGCTAATGCGGCGTAAAGCAACCAACAATCAATCAATCAATCAATACGAAACTGGAATGCGTTGGTTGTCCCTTTTCCTTAAAACTTCACGGAGTAGATCTTTCTTATTTGTCTTAATAAATTGTTCAAACGGAAGGGGTCAATCACAGAAGCCGATTTTGGTTCGATTTGCCTAATCAGTAATGGATCGAGGAACTATTAAAAAGGGGGAGAGGTTACATGTTAAGAAATAAGGAATAAGGAGAGAATCAATTAATCTAATTGGAATAGGATCCTAGTTACATGATACCAGTCCAGTACCCACTAATGAATCCCTTAATAAATCTACCATCTTTTAAATGAGATATTGTACCGAGATGACAATTATGAAAGGTTCTTAAAATTGTAGTATATCTAAAGGGTATTCATTAAACTTTCAACTTCTGTTCAATTTTAAGTGATTCTGAAATGTATAGGGTGGATGATTATCTGAGTAAATGGTCCAAATTTTATTTTCGATTTTAACCAGGAAGTTAATAAAATGACAGTATTGCTCTCTTAAATGCCGGTCATGACCCTCCAAGAATTCTCCAAAAAACATGAAGGGGGCTACTAGTAAGAAAAAGTAACTGAAATTTTGCACTCTAATATAAGGAATAAAAAATCGGCCCCTTAATTTGGATAAAATTGCATTGAAATAATGGGGGAAATAATCGGGTCCCCGTTCCAATTATCGGATCTATCGTAACTTGCGCACGAGGATAACAATACCAGAGATCTATATTTCAATTAGATTGATAATCAGTAAAAGTCCGCGGGTCAGCAACCTAACACGAAAGATTAATATATGCATAGACATCTTTTGACATCTTGCGATATTGAAAACATTTTTGGTTTGTTTGAATTCAGAAATTGGAATACAGTGCCTGCTAAAATTTAGGAGTGTAGCAGCCGGGGGCAAAAATGACTTACTTCTAGACTGTTTGACCACACACACATTCACAAACTATCCAGTCTTCGTCCTTGAAAGAGTTCACAAACACTCGACTTTAAGAGAATATATATGACTTACACACTTTTTTTTTAAATTACAAAATGTTATTTTGTTAGCTATGTCATTAGTATCCACTGAATTGAGCCAATTTAAATGTTCCGTCTTTTTGTTGTCAATTTTAATTAATAACATTAAGGGGGAAATCATATATGACTATAAAAAGAGGCGGAAGATACCGTTTGGACATTCAAAACTCTTAAGACGAAGAGAAACTGACAATGCCATGGTAAAAATCAAAAGACGCAAAAAAGAAAACCAATTCCACAAAAGTGACAAAACACTAAATAAAAAACTTTCCTATATTCTATCCATACTTAAAACAACTTTTTAACTAAGTATAGCAAAATAATGAATATCTTCAGAGTGGATAAATTCATCAAAAATAGGGTAAAGAAAGCTTAGTAGTGTTCACTATGTGGTTAAAAAAACAAAAAATGAATATTCAGTGCAAACAAGGAAAACAAATATCCAAATTATGTACACAACGCCTGTGGTTTTCTTTGGTGACGTCCTTCAATGCAAATTACAAAAACATTTAAAATTCATAATTTTGTATCAAAATTACTTTAAAATTAATAGCAAAATTTAGCATCGATTTCCATTTGAAAACATATTGAAAATTGTTATACGATAATCATACTTTTTACACATTTTGACTTGGATGGAGAGTTGTCTGATTGGCACTCATACCACAACTTTTTATTTGTATATAGACTCGTCAATATTGATTGACAACTTTCAGATTATGACTCTGTGAGTGAAACAAATACAATAATGCATACAGGGTAATACCTCTTTCATTAAATAAGTCTTAATTCAAATTGGAATATTCAATGCAAAGAATGAAAGAAGAAGACGACTAATCTAGAGCTTGTGAAATGCCCCAGATACGGCTGTATACTGCTTGAATCTTGAAAAAGAAATCGACTTGATATGTGCATTAAACAAAAAAATCTGTCTTCAGCCTCCCTATAATAACAACCATTCAGGAATATGATCTTTTCCGACCTTCACTCAGGACTCCTTTCGTTTGAAAAAATAATCAAATAGACCAATCAATATTAACTAGTTTTCATTATTCACAAAAAATTACATCTCGTAAGGTTCGTCAAGTAAGTTGTGTATTGTCAGCCCTTCCTGAGAACTTAAAACACTCTTTAATCTATTTGAATTGTTACCACGTGACTCATCGTCGGGTTTTATAACTGATATAGAAAAAGATTGTGAACATGGTATCTTCGGATTCTTTTCATCCCACTCAGACTTAAAATTTGAAAAGTGCGATTTCCCGCAACTTTGTGTACCAACTTGTGAGACATCATCGATATCCTCGCAATTTTCCTCATTGTCGGTCATTGACATCAAGACAAGGGGCGGTTTTTTACTATCACTCTGACTTTGAATTTTCAGCATTGTCTTGCCATTGTTATTAATAGTCTTTGTGTTGTTGAATACACTGTGTTGTTCTGGAACACTCTTTACCTGTTTATGATTTGAATAATTCGTTCCTAAAGAGCTACTTTGAGCAGTGGCTGCACCGTAGTTCTTTTTGGTGCCATTTTGTGTGTTACTGTTTTGACTCATTTGAGGTGGAGCTGGAGATGGATGGTCCTCAATCTCAGTTTTATCAAACAAATTTATTTTTGTCTTTGAAGGTGGTAGAGGGAACGATTTTATGTCTTTTATTGTCAATCCTTTGGTCGATTTTGGCGGCGGGTGAATGAAAGTCGTATTTTGTCTTCTCAATTTACTGAGTAAAGGTGGTCGCCTACTATGTTTTGGGTTAAATGTGCTGTAATCTTGACTATGCGTATCTGTTTCTTCGTTGATTGGAAATCTTGTAGAAGCTGGCATTGCTGGAATCGCAATTATTTTTTCCCTGTCTGACTTCTTGGGATCTACTGTTCTGCAAGCATCGATTAAATAAAATGGAATAACTATTGCTGCAATAACTGCACCAACCAAGGCAAGATACCAGCATAGTGATATGGTATTGTTACCAGATTTGTCATTCTTATAAATCATCAGGCACGCTATCACAAAAACAACTGTAAGAAAAAGAGAATTAATCAGTTGTTGTGGGAAAGGTTACCCACTGTCACTGTTGGAAGCTTAAATGATACATTAATAAATTCGACAGAAATTTAACACAATATGATACAAAATTCTATGTGGTCTATGTCGGAGATTTCTCATTCATTGTTGTTTGCTGTCTTCCAGGGATACAGTGAAATAAAACATTGTGAAATAGGTTTATCAACGTATAGAACGTACGTAAAAAGCGGCGAAATTTGCATTTTTTTCTTTACTTGCGTTATCTCGAAAATTTCCGTTTTAACAATATGAAAATTTAGGAGTCATAGGATTCGTTTTTGCTATCTACACTTTTTAATTAGGAGTCATGTTTGAATAAAAAAAAACCTAATAAATACGATTTTGCATTGTGACGCTGCAACGACGTTACGACTACTTTGTCGTTTAAACCCTTTTTTACGCTACATATCGAGACTAATTGATTTTTACTCGATGCCCCCACTATAATTTTCATATCATAATAACGGAAATATTTGCAGCAATAACATATCATTTATCTTTAAAATTATTGAACAAATTTTCGAAAAAACGTAATATTAGTTTCCATATCCGTAACCACAAAATTACCATAATTGCAAAGGTTCCGTAGGAAAAAAAATAAATAATACACAAAAAAAGTTATAAAGCATCGTGTATAGTTTAGGACCGTAGACGACAACTAATTAACCAACGAGATGACATCCATTTAAATGTATAAGAATGCGGGTTTTTCCTAGCGGCTCCATTGTTTTATTTTTAAATTTTGGCCTTCTTTTCATTTTGATAACTGAACATGCTGATAACATACGCAACCCAGGTCAAACTAACTAAAGATTGATTGGCCATTGATTAGTTGGTTGGTGTTTAATGCCACTGTCAGCACTATTCGAAACTGCTATTTCGTGGCGGTCAGTTTTTATTGTTGGAGGAAGCCGGAGTGCCCGGAGATAACCATCGACCTTCGGTAGGAAAACTGACAAACCTAGTCAATTAAGATCGAGTGCACCTGCCACGTGCGGGATTCGAACTCACAACCTCAGTGTTGACAAGCTAGTGATACAGTAGTTCGACTACTTTGACCACTCGGCCACCGAGGCCACTCAAACTAACCAAAAAATCAAACTCAAGGCTACATACGGACCCAAATGAGGTCTAATTATTGTCTTGCAAGACAGTAATATATCAGCGATGTTTTTAGCTTATTTTAACAAAATTGAAACGAACTGGCTGCTAAATGCGATATTTTTTTCCAATATTCACCTTTGGTTGATCTTTGAAACAAAAACAAAAATCATACTTTTAAAAATCTTTTATATAAATCGTAGAAAATGCCTTTTTAAAGTGACCTCTTTTAACGTACAATCTATATATTTATAGACTTCTTTCGTCAATAGTTTAATGGTCTTATCTCTGAAATTACAGATACTGCATATAACATTTTTTCGTTTTCACGTAGAGTGCAACGAGTTCATTGCATCAAAATCCGAAAAATCGCCCATTAAAGTATCACAGAGAGCGTGGCACTCCCCCAACACGGAGCTTTGTAGTTTTCTGGGTTTGCATCATTTGTGTGGGTAGAAATTATATCAAAAGTATACTATAACGATATATTTTTACTCAAAAGGTATGCAACGTAAAGCAAATAACGATCAATAAAAAAATCAATGAATCAAAGAGTGTATTTTTTGCATCTGTTATTTGCTACATTTTTTAGTCTTATGCTGAGGCAAAAATCTTAACACAAAATATTACAATTTCATATTTCAAAAGTGTAAATTACGTATACAGTGTCGGAACTCTTTTTCTGCCAGCAAATCAAAAAGGTTGGGTGAAAAATTTACGAAAATAAATACGCAGGTCAATCCCTTATTTTTCCTCATAGGAACATTTGAAATTTTGTCTTTCAGAATAAAATAGATATGGGTAATTGACCGACTTCCAATCGCTTGAAACATTTATGATTTCAAGTTTCTCAAACTAATATCCATAATTACATTCTTTTGTTAGTTACGTTACCGACAAGAATACATGTATGCTTTATGAATGTTCATTGAATATTCAAGGCATTATCAATAAAAATATATTATTTCATTGACAGAAGTCAGAGGTTTAATTAAATGATTGTATTTAAGCAGTTGCGTGTGGGGATATTTTTTCAATAAGAAAGTTGAAAGTATACACATAAACGTACTGAAAAACCAAAGAAGCATATCAAAAGAATCAACCTTTTTAAATGGCGTTCTCGCATTTCAGTTTCTACGTCATAAAATGGTAACTAATATCCAATATTAATTTATGTTGTATAACATATAGCGGTAAACCCCAGTTAATTTTTCAAGCGACCTACACGATCTCTGCTCTCCAAATGTATCATCTCTATTATTTTTCTTCCAAAATTATTTATATCTTAGTCTATATATTAATGTATTGGTCTGACCTGCTAAAATTGCCAAAACAACTGTCGTATATTTTATTGCTTTCGCCTTCTTCCAGTGATTTGTCCAAAATATTGTCAATGCAGACATCACAACAAACAAAATGAAGAATGATAGTCCCAGACATGACAGAATCTGAACTGTTTTGTGGTTTGCTGAAACAGAAATACAAAATCAAGCTAGCAGCACATAGATCTATTTGAAAAAGATGTTTATAGGTATGGAAATGATATTGGCTGTAATCACTAAATACGCACGATACCAGCGTGCACGAGCCGTGTTTTTTGTGACTACCTTTTACCTTGGAAACCAAAGGATCGGGAAGCAATATATTATTAAATGTTCGTGGGCATCAAAACAAACAGAACCTAACCAGAACAGGCAATGCGGACTAAGTTCAACTTGGCATGAGGGAGTTGCAACCTTCAAATCTCATACTCTATTCTTTACATGTAATATTGGTATAACGACTGGAGAGAAATAAACTGATTTTATTAAGATTCTTTTATGGGTCCAGTTTATAACATCTCGGTGATAGATGTGACTATTCAAATATTATGATAATATGAAGATTTTGACTTCTTAATGGTGTTAAGAAACCTGAATTGAAATTATCGATACTAGTTTACTTACCAGACATAAGATAGTCCGGCCACAAAGCACACGTATCACTACCACCATTTATATAACATATTTGCCAAAGTCCATCGCTTCCACTTTCGTGAGTAGACCATTTTGGAATGGTAAATGCCGCAATATATAAAATAAGTCCAATTGCAGAAAACACAAAAAAAGCAATGCGCAGTTTCATATATGTCGATGCCATGTTTTTGTCTAATAACAGATAGATAGTTTGCTAATATGTAAGTCCTTCAATTCATGATGTTTCATGAATTTTCATATACTGCAAAATATTTCTTTTCTGTTTCTATACATAAAAAAATAAAGAAAATCTTGGCACATCGGAAAAATAATTTTGTTTCTGCGAAAGTAAATGGGAAATAAAAAAAGGTAATTCGATCAAGCATTGGTGTACAGTCGGTTGACTTCATTAAACCTTTTAAAATTGCGAACAGTATAAATTACTTACATAATAAAACCGATAGAAATATTCAGTGCTCAAGCGCTATACCATATGAATGATATATTATTGTCAGAATCGACGTGCGGTTTTAACAAATGTGAATTTCCCGATTAAATCTTAGCCGCTATGAACTAGACAAGACAAGTAATATATATTGTTATTAATTATGCAAACCATTATATAGATAATACCCCGACCTGCTTGTGTATACAGTGTGTGGTGGTTGTCTCTTTTCCTTAAAAAACCACAGCGTCGACCTTTCTTATTTTTAATATTGTTTTTAATAATAATAATAATAAATATAGAAATAATAATGATGATTATAATAATATTTTTATCTAATGATTTTTGTTAAAGTTTTAAATAGTTACCATTTAAAAAGCAAGATGTCATCTTTTTCTTAATATTGCCATGATCCGATCATACAATATTAGTGGCCGGTTAAAGCCATTTCGCCTTCCAAACTCTATAGTGCGAAATGGTTTCATTTCTCGTTTTCCCGTTTTCGACTTCGCGTTTTCGCGATTTCGTGATTTCGCCTTTTTTGCGATTTCGCGATTTCGCGTTTGTCAGTTACTGCACACTTTGGTCAATCATCTCGTATCTTTGATCTGATTGGATAATGATTTACAACTGGAAGATAACTTGACTGGGTAAGGAAGGGAAAACATAAATTGCGCTATGAAGGTGTTATGGTGTTTATGAACAGGGAAACAAAATGGAGCTTTTTCGCGGAAAAAATAATCCGCTACACTCGTTTTATGTCGAACAGTATCATTCAAAATGTGACGCGGGACAGGACGCAAATTACAATTTTCACGAGCTTTGGACTATCATTTCTCATATATTTATCATTGCACAGCATAATATTGCAAAATTAAAATAGAGGATAAAATAAGCTTTATTTTGATATATCGCAAGTCAGCAGTACATTTTTATATTAATACTGAAACATGGTTTAGAAGGGAGAAGACGTTTTTTTCGTTGTAACACGAGTATCTTGCGACCTCTCTATAAATAAAATATGAGATTTTGATTCGAATCGAAGAACATGAATTTGTCAGCTAATGTCCCTTAAAGGCTTCAGAATTACATATCGGTCATCATCGAATAAATGCACAAGTAAAACTTATATCTTCGCACCGTGATGCGAAGCAACGATGCGAATCAATGCATAATCAATATAAGCAAAAAATATGATATACTATATAGTATGATATAATGTGACAAATATTTTAATAGACATGAATAAAATGCAGAAAAATTACAATTGGATGTGTGTATTTCGGGAGATTGTAAATTGATTATGACAACGTGGAACAGTCCGAAAATTGGTGACTTGAAAGAGCTGTAGATTTTTTATGATCATGTTTTTTTTTCCAAAACTTTGTATCATTACGCAGCAAAGATTATAATTTTTTGAATTTCAGTTTGACAAGCTTCCGGGTGCGGGATTTTCTCGCTGCGTTGAAGACCCATTGGTGACCTTCGGCAGTTGTCTGCTCTTTGGTCGGGTTGTTGTCTCTTTGACATATTCCCCATTTCCATTCTCAATTTTATTCTAATCCAAATATCTCGATAAATAATGACAATAAAACATGATGTATTTCATGTATATTTCTAATAACGCAGTTTAACAAATACTTAAAATGTACGATTGTTGTTTCGAAATAACTTCTGATCAGTATCGTCACCTACTATTGATTTTGTCAACTTTTTCATAAAGAAAGTTACTTTTCCATTGTTCTCGCGTCATCGTTTTGTGGCCACAGTAAAATCTAGCGGTATCGCTCGATATTCTTGTTGATAAGTCACTATGAAAAACAAAAATACCATAATAGAAATAAGAAGATGTGGTATGAGTGCCAATGAGACAAGTATATATATTCATGAATTATTTAAAAATGAATGTTATAACCATTATGTATCAACATGATAGTTTAACGATATCAATTATGTAAATTGTATCAACATGATAATTTAACGATATCAATTATGTAAATACAATAAGTGATACTTGATCGATGATGATGTAACATGAAATAATGGGATAGCCGTAAATTTACCTTCACCCGAACACATGATGAATTCAATCGTATCTCCCTGATATAATTTGAAAAACGTCAAGAGTTAATAAAAACTTCTGGTGTAGAAAAAATGGTACCGTTAATGTTATTTCTACCACTTAAAAGAAGTATTTTCATGAAGTGTTAAATTGTCCCTAAGATTTTGATTTTTTTAATCAGGCCAAAATACTACAAATTTCACATAGAAATAATTGTGATATTTCTATTTATACAAACAACTAACTTCTTTTTGACACATTACATTATAAATGACGAAGTAATGACCCCATAAGGAGGTACCCAACACTTTGACTAAAATAGATTCAGCTCGTTTATTTTTCATAAAATTTTGACAAAATATTTACTTTGACCTGTTAACAAAAATGTATAAGTTTCAAGAAATTTGAACCACCCAATTTCCAGGAATAATTTCATTGGATATATAGCAGTTTGACAAACACTAATTTTGTTCATTGGGAAAACATATTTCTCTTTGCTAAAAGTATGTGATTAAAGTGTTCAGCTGCTTTTTATAGAGTTAACTATATTATTTAGTAACACCTTTTTGAAAAATTAGTAAGTATGCCTAAATAGTTACAAGATCTTAAAATCATCAATTGGTCATTTCAGAATCGATCTTACTAAGACAGACGTACACAAAAATTGATAACAATATGCCCTGGATTAACAATTTGTTAGTTCATGATAAAGTACATATCACTGACAAGTGATGACCTGGCCAAGTTATGATTGGAGATAAAGACAGAATGTCTCAAATAAATTAATTTCCATATTTTGACTTTACTCGATTCATGAAACTGAGACCAATATACTTTTTTTGCGGTCACCATGACATATATCCCTCTCGTCCTTTACTTCAGACAGAAAAAACATGAAATATTTCTGAAAAAAGGAAAGAAAACTGATTAAATTATAATTTATTTCATTTTATACCTTTACTAATGAAATGTTAGAAATGATATATGATATAGCATTCACATGTCATTTACATAACTATAAAATATTTAGCAACGAAATTATATAATAAATGAAAACAAAACGTAATATTTTTTATACGTTAGGAACGCTCATATCCTAATATTTAAAAGCCAAGGATGTATAAAAACCAAAACAGTTGCAGAATTATATGACCAAAAGGTCCTAAAAAATAGCCAAATCCATCTTAGGTCAACTTTGCCTGAGGGAGATGAAACCTTAGTTTCTTTATAATTTAAAATTTTATAACGGACAATTTTAGAAAGGTTTGTTATAAATCATATCAGTACCGAAGTAATGACTACTGAGCTGATGATACCCTCGGGACTGATAGTCTACCAGGAGAGGTATCGACCCAGTGCTGTAAAAAATGAAATCAACACGTATACATGGGTTTTATTTGTTATATTGAGCCTTGATGTAATAGTGAATCCTGTTAATATATTATACATGTGACGCGTCAACTAATCTTTTAATTTCAATCAATGCTGTTCATTTTATCAATGCCAACTAAATTGTAACTTTTTTTGACTATACGTTGGAACCTTGAACACATATTTAATCAACCCAAAACTATACAATATTCTATGCAGTCATGAAAATCTACAAATTTAGCAGTTTTTCAACATCAGCCTACAGTTTTTAAACTTGACTCAATTTGTACACAGATACATATGTAAGAGATAAATTTGTCCTGGTAAAATATGTCCGGGCGGACACATATTACTAGTATAAAAAGTCCATGGTTACAGAATTTACTAGTATTTTTAGTCCGATGTTAGTAATTTATGTCCCCAGACTAATTTTCCTAGGAATTCAAGTCCATGTCATTAATATTCCTAGGTAAAAACGTCCATGTTCTTTTTTTTATAGGAAAAATATTAATGAATCAAATCATTTACATTTAAACAATATTGGAAATTTAAATATTAAGTTTTAATATTGTTTAAGAGTTGTGTATTTATATTTTTAATAAAATTCATGTCCCCAGACTAATTTTCCTAGGAAATCATGTCCATGTCATTGTTATTCCTAGGTAAAAACGTCCATGCCCTTTATTTTAAAAGGTAAATATAAATGTTATGTTTTAATATTGTTTAAGAGTTGTGTAACAATTTTTTTAATATAATGTTTGTCTCCAGACTAATTTTCCTAGGAAATCATATCAATGTTATTAATATTCCTAGACAAAAACGTCCATGCCATTTATTTTAAAAGGAAAATTTTAATGAAACAAATTATTTACATGTTAACAATGGAAATTCAATTTTTATATTTTAATATTGTTTAAGAGTTGTGCATTATATTTTAATAAAATTCATGTCCTCAGACTAATTTTCCTAGGAAATCATGTCCATGTCATTAATATTCCTAGGTAAAAACGTCCATTGCTTTTATTTTGAAAGTTAAATTTAAATGTTATGTTTTAATATTGTTTTAGAGTTGTGTATTAATATTTTTATAAAATTTATGTCCCCAGAATAATTTTCCTAGGACATCATGTCCATGTCATTAACATGCCTAGGTTATAACGTCCGGCAATGTCCTTTTATTTTAATAGGAAAAATTAATGAAACTTTTCAATCTTAACTAAGAAAATGTTTTTTTTTATTTTCAATAATTTTTAAAATATAATAAAAATTACTAGAAAAACAAGTCTTAGGACAATTTTTCCTAGGAAAATAAGTGCCAGACATATTTTACTAGCTATGGACTTATTTTCCTAGGAAAATTTGTCCTGGGACTTAAATTCCTAGTAAAATAATGGTCATGGACTTGATTAGCTAGGAAAAAATGTCTGGCGGACAAATTTTACTACCGGACCAAATTTACTGTTACACATACAAGCTCCTGGACATTTTTTTTTTAATGTTC